AGGTAAATTTTCATCTGTTTATGGGAGGTGAATTGAAACAATTGAACACGGGGTTGCTCACGTGTGGCGTTTTTTTTTATTTCGGTCCCTCCCTTCTCGTCTAAAGCAGTCGACTTTTCAAGGAGGATTTCCCACTCCTCCTCCTCTTCATCAGTGTCGTCTTTAAACTTAAAAAAGTTCTACTCTGTCCTAGAAAGCAAGTTTACCCGAATACCATTCCCACTTCAGAGGTGCATCTCCAATTTTTGCTGCCATGACCGCGAGTTCTTCTCGCTACTACGTACTGGCTATATTTCATAAATTCCATGGCACAGTAGAAATGCGATTGTTTTAAAAATCACTGAGGCATCCAGACGTTTTCAGAGTTGGAGAGATCTCAGTCGATGAGAAGTCGGTAGTTATTGCGACCTCCTCTCCTCACCAGCGAACCGCTCTAAACGCTACCGAAATGGCTGTTGGTGAGCTAGAAAAAATAATGGCGATTCGAAGAAAGGTATTCAAAAGTTCCCATGTACAGGCTCTGTGTTCAAAAGCATTTGTTTCTTCTCTTCTAGGATCGTTACGTCGGCCTATTTTTTGCTTCAGGTGATATACGAAGATGGTGGTTGTTCATGGGAACAAAATGATGGAAAATGTAACGAAAATGGTGTGAACGGAACTGCAGAAGATAATAGTTCTGGACAAATAACCGGGTTCGTCTTCACCCTATCTCTTACTTCAGCACAGTAACTGACCTTTTATAGGCTCGCTGCCGCTAAGGCTGGTGTCAGAGTCCGCGATCCGTCGCAGTTTTTGCTTTCGCGCGATTCGCGCGACGGATCACAGAAATCACAAGTGCCCGATCAATACTGCAAGGTGCTCTCCAATCCCGCCGCCATTTCTGCTTGATGGTGATGGTTGAATGACGACTGTTCATGATTCTACTTGTTTCATATTCAGTGTTTCAAATGTTCAAATGGGCACTTGCGATTTTTGCGATTCGCGCGACGGATCGCGGACTCTGACACCAGCCTAAAGCAGCGCTTTCGTTCTCCCACAACCACGAGCGCGATTGCGCATGGCGCAGGCTTCGCGCCGCGCGCTGTTACACGAGCGCGGTCTGTTATTCGTTGGTTGGGGGACCTTTACGCGAGTATTGGATCGTAGTGCTTCAATTGAAGCATGCGGTGCGAAGTTGCGTCAAAAACGATGGGCGTAGAGAATTACGATGCATGAAATGTATTGGGTTGTCTCATAATTCCTGTCGCAATTTCGACACTTTTGTTTATTCAAGTTTTATCTCTTCTAGGAAACAACTGATCAATAGCATAACCACCATCATGGTCACTGATATGCGTGCATTTGCTAGTGAGCGTTTGGAAGCTTCCAGCCCAGAATGAAGGAAGCTGGGGTTGAAGAATTTGGAGAAGTCGTTTTTGGGGTGGTCGCAATCTTTAACTTTCTTCTCTGGCAGATGCTTATTCAGGGCGCAGGGGAGGCGATAGTCCGATAGAGCGATGCCAATGCTATATGGTGGATGAGGTATCGTGGCCCTGGCTATCTCCCTCAGAACGTGGTGAGTTGGCATTGCAATGTGAGGTCTGGCGTACATTCGGAGAAAGGAGAATCTGAGACGTTTCTGACGATTCCCTCGCAACCCCGAAGCCAGCCTAGAGGGCTATTCCGCGCTGACTTTAGCAATGCTTGTCTTCATACATTGAAGTGGTTCCCAAACCAGGCCACCTAGCGAATCCAACAAAACGAGAGCGATATTCTCAGAAAACGGAGTTCGGGCTTTGGTTGAGCTGGTGCTTCCTGGCTGCGAGCTAGCCATAAGGGGTGCCGCGTTGTTGTTGTCGCAGTGGACTCATGACTCCACTGGTGACCGATTAGGGAAGGCTCTGCTTTTGCCGTCCCAGAATGGATTTTCCCCAGATGGTCAGGCGTGCTTCCCGCTCATGGTCGGCCGGACCATAAGGTTTCCATCAAAACTTCATTCTGCAGCAGTCCTTGCCATACTGATGGCGTGTGCTGGTGCATCGGCTGCGCTCAGGTATCTGCTACAATACCCTGGTAGCAACGTACGGAGGCACTCCCAATTTAGGTGCAAGGGGCCCTTAATCAAAGAGACTTCAACCAGGGTGAAAATCGTGTCGAGTACGTGGTCGCAGAGGTACGACCCCCCCCCCCGAAATCGAGATCCTGGCACGACCCCCTCTAACAGAGCAAATTAATTCAATTAAAATAAATCCTGCAAAACAAATCAAAAAAAATTCTGCAAAATAATGCTAAGGACGCTTCATCTTGTCATCTATGCACGTCTTCCATCGCTGCATACTTTTGTGTACATACTGAAATATCGACTCGAGGAAAGAGGCATTAACTTTGTGTGACCTCAAGGCGAGGTTCGTTCAGAAACGCACAGAAATCCTGAAGACACGGCGATTCAATCTTGATTCTTGCTTGAGTATATCAAAACAGCCGAGTGTATCAAAGGCCGATTCAACGGCAGCTGCGGCGCGATTGTCACTGGGTCAGATTTGCCGAAATTTCAAAAAAAAACGTCCGAATCTACACCCTCGATGAAAAGGTTGCATTCCTCCATTTCACAACCTTTGAAGCAGCTTGAGGTAGAGTTAGATAGAGCTGGATTTCGCGTTTCCAACAAGCATCGAAATTGCTCTGGAAGCCTTCCTTGCAGAAAGATAGGGTCTGTCAAATTTCGTCGAGTAAATGTCGAGGAGGCCCAAATTTTCACGCGAGTTTTTGCCACTTCAAGAGCAATATATCTCTTATATTGTAAGATCCTGAAAAAGGGAAGATAGTTTTGGAAAGCGGAAGGTTTGCGCTTCCTGATGGTCTGTTTAGTTTTCTTCTACAGCTTTTTGGTTGAAGAGATAATTGCGTCGAGGATCTATCGAGGACGGATCCGGCCACCTGGAAATCCGCTCCCTCATTCACCATTGCAAGTGTGACTCGTTGGCAACACTCGGAATGTGTCTAGAACAATATCTTTGAACGCAAACAATAAGAATAGGAGCAATCGTCATCATCCGATTTGGTATTGGTATAAGCCATGCATCCCTCCTCCACTCACAGTTGCAGAATCGATTGAAAGGTGTTATATGATGGGGACCTTCGAACGAAACTGTATTGTAGTAGACATAGTGTGTTGTGCTATTCCTGTAACCTAAAAAACAACTTCATTTGCCCAGCGCTTTTTCTTCACGGTTGTCGTTTTTCCGACAGGGTCCCTAACAACAGCGTCATTCTCAGCGAGGTATTAAGGGAGAAGGAGCGAGTGATAGGCGGAGGAGGTGCCTTTGCAGCGCGTGCGCACATGTGGCACTCTTCTTTGCGGGGATGCACTTTCATTCTTTGTACTGCCTTCAAATACGCCCTTCTCATGAAGGTGGAGGAATGGAGCGACTGAACCTGCAAAGAAAATTTAATATCATGTTTTTTTCGGATGTTTTCATTTTCTGCTGCGCTATACCCTATTACCTATCTGCACCATGATACCACTTCTGTTACTGACCCCCAAGAGTACGACCCCCCATGGACCAGCCCAACAGGTACGACCCCCCTGTCGAGGATTTCCTCGACCGATATTCACCCTGCTTGACCCAGTATGAGGTTGAACTTCATAGCTCGTTTCGTCTTTGCCGTTGCGATTGGACCACTAGCTCAGTACCCTATCAGTAGCAGAGACTGGGTCAAACACAGCGCTGATCTTCTCTGTTGTCCTCCTTGCTACAGAGTTCATTTGAGGATCGTAAAGCATAATCATTCATTATTGTCACTGACCTATTTTTATTCCTAGTTGATTAACCCGTTACGGGCTTGCGCTTCCGAAACCACGCTGTTAAGGCTCTTGAAGCATACTTCAACATACTAACGTATTTCGCAATGAAACGGTCTTAGACGGAAAATTTGAAATTGAATAGAAATGCGACAGGAATTATGAGACAACCCAATAGGTAGTTTGTTCCCCGGGGAACGTGATTGCAGAATCAATATGACCGGTGACATGGCTTCAAAAAAAAAGACATGACCTTTGCTTTTTGTTGCATTTGTTGATATCTGATGCCATTTAATGGCAAGTCTGCAATTACGACATGTTTTGTTGCGGAAAACAAGGTCGGCACTAATCTTCATCATCGTCATCCATTTAGGTTGCAACAAAATGGTTCGGATGAGCGGATGAATGTGGATTAATATTGACATTCAGTATTGGTTAACCATTCGAAGGATCTCAGTATGGAAAACCAGGTCCGCCTTCTGATAAGGACGTCTACACCTCGCCCTGATGAACAGATTCCGGGTTCACTGTTTCAGAGTTCAATTTTTAGTTTTATATAGCCTAGATGATATTTATATAGTTGCATAGGTAACGGTGTATTGCATAGGTTGTGCTCAGTGTAACAGCCTCCAATAATCAGTTATTTAGCGGCTGATTTCAATAACTACTAAGGATT